TCTTTGAAAATAGAACTGAAGTAGTAAAATACTAAGTGGCTAGTTTTCTGCAGAGTATTGTATAGTATTGTGTTGTGTTGTAAAGTAGCCACCGCTCCAAGCTCACTCCCATGATAGACCATAATTTCAATACAATTTAATAAACTAAATGTGAGATTATAGTCCATCACGATAGTGAGCTTGGAGTGGTGGCTACTTTACAACATACACAGGGACCATGGGGAACAAAAGTAGCCATCCTCCAGAAAAAAGGTCAGTGTCAGCATGAATTCAGAGATGATTTCAGGATCTACAGCTGAGTGATGCAAAAATATGCTACATTTCTGTGACAATTAAGGTAAATGCATCTTTAAGATTTAACGCCTGCGTTTAATGTCACTTTAAAGGGTTTCTAAACCCTAAGTTTTTTTGCATATACCTACTGCTAGCAAGCAGTAGATATATGAAAAAAAAACAAAACGCTTTAACAGTGGTTTAAACTTACCCCGTCTTTGCCGCGCGCTCCCGCCCGTAAATCCAAAACTGCTCGGGCGGCCGCAAAGCGTCTTGGGCGGGCGCATGCGCAGTTCGGATTTTCAGCCGGGAGACGAGGAGAGACGCAAGTTAAGTCTATGGACGCGTGCACCCGCATGCAGACACCGTGGGATCGGAAGTGCCAGCAAGGACAGAGGAGTCAGCACTGGATCGGACACCCACGGCAGCGCTGGAGAGAAGGCTGAAAAGGACATGAAAGAAGAGGAAGATCGGATTAAGAGACATCATTTAAGGTAAGTGCTGACATTAACATTGGGGGAGGGAATTTTTTTTTAACTTTAATGTCACTTTAATTTGTTAATCTGCATCAGTGGGAGGTGATGAAGGGGTGGTGCCATCTGTGGGAAGCGATATAAACATTCCTTCATAGGAAGTTCTCTCTGGAAGCAATTTTTTTTTATTCTTTACCAGCAACTGGATGTGTAATAGGGCAGGTCCTTATTGCTGTTCTTTTAAAGCCATGAAAAGCTTGTTTTAAAAATACAGCTGTCAAAAAAAGAGAAAGGAGAACACGGGACTTGGGGGAACCACCCTATTCTGTGCAGTCATTGTCTCTACCCCTTATGCATATATAGGAACATAATTATATACTTAAAGCAGGCCTTTATACTAAAAAAATAAAATAAATCTAGTTCTACGAATGCACCCCTCTATGTATGATGATTAATAAAAACAGACATGTCAGGTGTAAAATGCTGTAATTTTGAAATACTTACACTTGCAGAGCATTCACTTCCTGCTTTGAAGGGCATAATAACATCAGATTGCCAATGCAATGCACACTGGGATTGCCTTGTCAGAGCATTGCTGGGAAATCTCATCTGTAATCTCAGGAGATCAAGGAAAGGCATTTTCCTCTCCTGAGATGATGTGCATGGTCACATGTCCTAGACACATGTCTGGTCACATGTGCAAGAAATCAAGGGACTAAAAGGAGAGCTAGTAATCTGCACTTAAAGGAGAACTATGAGGTGAGTGAAAATCACTCAGTCATCAATCACTCACTCATAGTTCGAGCTGACTTGTAACAATAAAACTGTCACACGTCGGCTCAATAGATCGAGAAGTGAGCGAAAACATACCGTCGCTTGCTTGCTTCTCAATCATCACCCTGCAGAGAGTCATGACTGTCAGTCACAGCTCCCCGCATTACTAAACATTTCAAAGGTGTGTTTGTTGTTATTTTAAAGATATGGGTAAAGGTCCACTTAAAGAGGGAAAGCCCATGACCTTTGGGCTGCAAAGTTTGCAGGGCTGAAACAAACTGGTCATAGAGAATCCTAAAGCTGGCATACACCTATAGATTTTCTGCAGATTTTCTATGAACAGATGGAAAAAGTGCTCCATCTACGCTAAACTGTGTGGATGGAGGACTCTCCCACTGGGCCAAGCTTCAGTATCTTGCTAGTCTGCACAGCTGGCTGTCAAAATACCTGAACAATCTGATAGGATGCAGGCATTGTTCGGGTGTTTTGAGAGCCAGCAGGGCCGACAACCAAGATACTGAAGCTTGGCCCAGTGGGAGATTCCTCGATCCACACACTTTAGTGTAGATAGAGGAATATGTTGCACTTTTTCCATCTGACCATAGAAAATCTGCAGAACATCTATAGGGATATGGTCAGCTTAAGCAGCTGGGAGATCTTCTGGAAAAAGCCACAGCACACATGTGCTCTATTTAAAAATGTTTTATTCCAAGATTTACATTTTCTGTTTTTCAATTGGGAAAATGTGTGAATCCCAGGTATCCCCACTGGAAGATTTCTCCCTCATGTCCCGATTCTGCAACACTATAATTTTGTGTGTACTGGAGACAATGGCCACCAGGACAAACAGAGAGGATTGATATTGCCAGTAGGGACACAGATGGCAATAAAACTGCGAAAGGGGTTTTAACCACTTCCTAACTATTTAAAGCTATAACAATAATTAAAAAAATAAATAATTGGCTTCATATACGCTTAACGGTTTCAGTGCATGTAAACCCTAACAATTAACATCTATTTACTGCCTTATGGTCTGTTAAATGTACAGTTGAAAGTTTTTTTATTTATACATTTGTAAATAACAAGTGCAAAACATCTTGTGATGACTTCCTTTTGTATAATGATGGGTTATAGAGGCAGCATTACTGACTCGAGTGGTGGATTGGTGTTGCCATCGTTCTGCCAAGAGCTGGGTTTCTATGGAGAAGGAAGACTCCTCGACTCTCCTTGCTGGTATACCCTGGTTGTCGATATCCAATGCCCAATATTGCCATGCCCAATCCGCACCCACCCTACAATAGCGCCAACCATCTCTCAGGTGAGGTCTTTGTTCAAGGTCACCACTCTGTCCCCATTCCCTTCACCCATGACGCCAATACTAGGCGATCCAGACATTCCGCCGGCATGAAGGGGGTAGGTTGAGTCGCCACTTTGGACAGGGGGTCTTTCAGGTCAGCAACTTCCGCATAAGGGACCGTTGGTTTTCTGTCAATGAAATACGTGACCCTCCCTTAGACCATCAGAGCGCGCTGCAACTCCGTCATTTCTTATGCTCTATCCCAGTCACCCAGATTCCTTCAAGACCCATGACGCCGCTTGAGTCGCTATGTCGGGCAGGCTAGCAGGTGCGACATGTAGTTTCCTTTATTTACTCTACCGTAGTGGGACCCACTTCTACATCGAAACCTAGTTTCATGGCCAAATGGGAACGGGACCTTAATATGCAGTTTATTGAAGCCCAAAAGGATTGCATATGATCTCTTGCTCACAAATCCTCCATTGCGTACCGGGTGGTACAAGGTAGCAACCTTACTATATTCTATGTTCCCCCAGGTCTCAACCCTTTGTTGGTGATGCCAATCTGCCCCTGGTACTCCATTTCACATTTTCTGGACGTGCTCAAAGATTCGTCCCTTTTGGGACCAGGTCTTGGAGATTGTCAAACGATTGACCATGCTGAACGTGAAAAACAACCCAGCGGCCTGCTTGCTACACCTTTCGGATTGCTCTTAGCTGATATAAATCATCTCTGGCTGTGCCCTTACAGGATGCCGCCCACATATGCATCCCTCTACTATGGAAATGCTCCTCCCCCTCCCTCCATATGTGGATCAATAAAGTTGACGACATTTACTGTATGGATGACCTCTCCTCCACCCATAAAAATATGGAGGGGAAGTTCGGGTCCACCTGGAGCTCCTGGCTCCTCGTTCAGCATTCAGAGACCTATTTCCGCAAAATGTCATCGAACCCAAGAGCGGAGTCTGGAGAAGCCTCCCCAGCGATGTCCCCTGGGCTGCAATTAACAGGTACTGGTTCAGAGAGGACACCCAGTCCTCAATAACCTCCTCTGTCCTATATCCATCTGTATCTTGCCCTTTCACACGCTCATTCCCTAACCTGTTCTTTACCTACATATCTGTTTGTCATTCTTACCCTCCATCAAGCCCCCTCCTCTTGCTTTTTTGCTTCACTTCCCAATCTACAATTTGTTCCATTCTACTTTTATTTCCAACCAATTCCTAAAATTGTAACATCTTAAGTTTTAGTAAGGCGATGATGTGTGCCCTCCTTCTACCCTCGAGGCACATATTTTGTCCTCTTTACCGAAAGCCTATATATATTCGGACAGTATAGAAGGGAATGCACATGCTCTTATAACCATGTTACTATTCTATTGTTTATTAAATGTCATGAGGTGGATTGCCACTGAGTTGATGTTTGGATTGAGAAATATATTCACGCACAGTTGTATGGTGGCTACAATATCTGCGACGTGATATGTTTATTGCTGTGATGAATTGAGACATTGTTGCACTGAGCTTTTATAATTTTATATGTTTTTATTATTCTGTGTTAAAATAAAAACGTTTTGAATAAAAAAAAAAAAAGTGGAAGCGTTCTGGAGGCACCCAGTTGACTTCAGAGCAGCCAAAGGAAAAATGTATAAATTAAGCTGTAAGCCTTGTAATAAATCTGGCATATGATACAGAATTAATAATTGCCGCCTCAATTCCTGTGTTGTCAGCTTACCAGAGAGATAGAAGCAAGCTATTCCTTTAAAACATGCCTCAAGCAAAGAAAAAAAACGTACATGTACCAGAAAAATAAACATGAGGAAATGTGCATGTATTGCAAAGATTTACTAAAATTGTCTTTTTATTTTGCCTTCGAATGTGCTTTAAACTATATGCAAGCAAACCACAAGGCACATTAGGCATGGCCCACTATCTCAACCCGAGAGATGCCATACAGCCATTGCTGGAGTGCATGCATTGAAGGACAGGACGTAGCTGCAAAGAGGCTGCAAGGGATTAGCAGTCCTAACATACAACAAAACATGAAAAAGTTGTGAAACAACTATTTTAGTTAAAAAGGCAGTGTTGAACAGTGCTTTAGCGAATTAAATATTTAAGAAAATAATAGTAATTTGTATGGAGTTCATGTCACTTTTTCCACTACAAGAAGAAGCCCACTTACCTGTGTACTGAGACTCAAAAGGCAGATCTTTCCAGAATTAATAACTTGTCTAACTGAATCAACACTGGTGCCATACAGGTTTTTCTCAAACTCCCCATACTCAATGAATTTGCCAGCAATGATGTCAGCTTCAAATGTTTGTCTCGAAACAAAGTGATAATCACGTCCAGCTACTTCATTATCTCTCCGACTTCGAGAAGTATCTGAAAAAATAGATCACAGCACCCAGCTAAACCGTCAAGTACATTTAAGGAACATCACAGTCTATGTAGCAATGCACACAACAAATATTACTGATGCTAAAACTGCGCACATTATACTGATGAACTTAAAAGTCCACACAAATGTCTTGCCACTGCTAGTGGGTACAGCAGTTGAAGGGTGCTGCAGCAGAGAAGAGGTTATGCTTTGCAGTGCCGGCTAGCACATAATTGCATTAATTGCATGGAGGTGTGGTGTTAGTTAATGCAGGAGTGCACAAAGCTGCAGTGTTGGCTAGTGCAGAAATGCATGGATGTGCAGTGGTTCCAGAAGGGAAATTGCGAGAGATGGAGAGCTGGAATGACAGGCTGTGGGCAAAGCATGTGAGTGGGGCTTGATGCCAGGTTTTTAAACATTTTATGTTTATGGGGGCCAGACTTACTTTAAAAACACTTTTTTTAATGCTTTAAATTTTTTTTATTCCTGTCCGAAATGCTAGGCCCACCTACCGTGTACAGGTGCCTACATCTGCTAGCCGGCTGCTAAGGAGGCACCCATGCGTGTACATTCATGGCTCTGCCCGCACCTAGCTGTGTGCGTCTTTAGACACTAGGACTGCAACAACTAAACGATAATAATCGATTATGAGAGAGAGAGGGAGATTTTTTATGCAACCACTCGACTAGTTGAAAAAATTAATCTAGCAACTAGTCAATTATGAAAGAAATCGTTAGCTGCAGCCCTAATAGACAGCCATGCCACCACTCTTGCAGTCACAGTTTGACAGATGGCAGAAAGAGCCTATGGCTCCTCTGCCCTCAGTACCCTCCCCCACAAACAGGAAGTTCGGGGGAAAGCCGAGTATCTTCCTGGTCGTGGCAGAGGACACAAGTGGCCACAGATAAAGGCGGGAGCAAAGAATGCATTAAGGTAAAAAACACCAAGCCTTTAGTACTACGTTAAGCTTTTGAGTCCCAGCATCCTTTTAAAATAGTGATGGGAATCACTGGCTCCTACAGGGTACAGGCTGAAAAAGCCAGCTGTCTTTGAGAACCGGCATTCATCTCAGGAGCTGTAAAGATAAGCAAAAGTAGACAGAAAGCTTCCAAAATTCTGTTGGGAGTTTAGTAATGTCACCACACTCCCATTAAGTTTGGAGGCCCAGGCAGAGCTGCGCCTCCCTGCAGCCACAGATCACCGCTATAGTGATCTATTGCTGGCTGATTGCAGGCAGCAGAAGATCACTATAAAGGTCCCCACACACCTTGCGATAATCGTACGATAATCGCCGGAAATCCTACGATCGTACGATTATCGTAAGGTGTGTGGAAGCCGTACGACCTCTACTACTGTAAGGTCGCACGACTTTTAACTTACGAACATGTTCGAAAACCCGCCGAGCATTGTACGATGTTCGGCGGGTGTGTAGCATGTTCGTACGATAAAAGCGCACACTGCCCGTTCGGCATTGCGGTCAACGGAAGCCCGCCCCTCAGGGGGGCGTGGCTTGCGATCATCGCAAGTACGATCTGACTATGCAAGATAGGCAGATCGTACGTTTTTTTAAGTACCTTACAACCATCGCAAGACAAAAGTCTTGCGATGGTTGTAAGGTGTGTACCCAGCCTAAGAAGTGATCTGCTGCTGCAGAGCTGCATTGGGGTCAGGATATGATTTCCACCGACCAAATCCAGAAAACCCATGAGAAAAAAAATACAGTATACACGTATACACAAATATTTCTACTAAAAATATATAAAAATATTCCCTCCCCAGATTAATCCCCAGGGTTCCAACAATGATAAAAGGATGATCTGGATGACATTTGTGTTTAATTTGCAAGCATCAAATGCTCACATAAGTGAAGGCAATGTCATGTGAATATTTAAAGGAGAACTATGGGGTTAGGGCTTTTCCCCATAGTTCTCCTTAGGGTATCGGGAGGACACAAACTATCGTCCTCCCGTCACCCAAAGCTGAGACGCCGCAGCCAGAACGGATTGGGGGGGGAAATCCCTGCAGTGAGCCGTGAGTGACAGTCACGCTCTCTGCACAGATAGATCGAGGAGTGAGTGAGCGCCGGTATGTGTTCGCTCACTTCCCGATCTACTGAGCCGACCTGTGACGGTTTCATTGTCACAGGTCAGCTCAGATTAGGAGGCTGAGTGAAAATCACTCGCCCCATAATTCTCCTTAAAGGATCGCAAACTTGTGAGAAAGTTTTCGTCCTGCTATTTTGTGTCCTCGTCAACCCTCATTGGTATCTGAATGTTACATTAACAATTTACACAAACCATTAATTTCCTCCCCCACGTATGGCGCCCTGTCGTGTCGAAGGGGGAATAAAGCTCCTCCAAAATTAAACGCATATGTTCACTTTCAGCTATACCATTTTTCTGTTACTAAAAAGGCCCATTAAAGTAATATCCATTTAATCAGTAGACTTTGCTGGTTACATGTTGCAGTAAATAAATAGGAAGGGGGGGGGGGGGGGGGGCATACCTGGGCTGAACACTTGAAACTGTCACACTCACTACTATAGGGCAGCTGAAAGTCACAAGAACTGCTGTACACGCTGTTAATGCCTAGGAGGTGAGAGTAACGGTGGTGCTAGCTGTCCCTCTCACTTCCTTTCTTTTACCTTTTCATTAGGCTGACTGTTGTACACAGCAAGGAAAACTCAAGAATCTACTTGAAGTTCAACATTTTTTTTATGTGCATGTGCAGCCATTGTCTAGTTAGTGTAAATATCCACATCAACTGTATTCACACAGGTACTGTAAATACTCACAGGTACTAAGACTTTATCCAAATGCCTGGCGATGCAAATAATGAGTTGCTGCTGTTGGTTTGTTAGATACAGAGTCACAAACCTAGAACAAGCAAGCATCCAGTGAAGTCAAAACTCCAGATATGCAGTCTTGCTCAAGGCCAGTGACTTGAAACTACTGTAGCCATTGGATCAGTATGATGGCCCAGTAGCTAACATTTTAAGGAGAAGTTATGAAAACTAGTCATTTCAGAAGGAGAGGAAAGATAATAGCCTACATATTCTCAGCATGGGTTTTCTTTCACACGGGTTCTCCTTATGAAACAGTGTTCATACATCATTAAAGCTGAGAAGAAAATACATACGAGGTATAGCAGTGGCAAAACGATCAGCCTCGCTGTTCAACAAGCGCAACCGCAGCTCATTCTGCCCACAATTCTGTGGTCCTATAAGAACTATGGGTCGCTTTCTGTTTGCTGGCTGGTGGTAAAGGGACATTTCTTCGTATGTTAAGATTTCCTCATTATCATAATCTAGATGGAAAAAGAAGAATCCCAGAACAAAATTTCAAAATCATTTTCCATCTCGTTATACATTATAACAATACATAAAATAAATAAATTAGATAATGATTTTATTGGCCATCACAAAAATAACACATTATGAACAATATTCACAGAGCTAAGCAGGCAAACACATTACTGCCTCAGACAATAAGCAAATCTGCCAACATGCAGTAAATGGGAGTAGAGCTGCCACAACTAAATCGATGTAGTAGATTAAAGTCAACGTTTTCCATCATCGATTAGTCAGCTATCGATTCGTTTACCGTGCTTGAGGCTCCACACACGACCCGAGCCGCATGCCGCGCACCAGACGACACGCCTCTTCTCCTCCCCGCTGCCCGCCAGCGATTGAGGGGGAATGGCACCTGACAGGCCCACAATCCCACATCTAAAAGTAAGAGTGCTTGCTCCTGTCCAACACCACCCTCCCCTCCCCCCCAACTTGTTTTTTTTTAAATGTATTGCTGGGATAGTGGGAACTGTTGTATTCTCTATAGTATATGGTAGATTGTGCTGTATATGTACCATCAGCTATAGAGGAATACAAATCCCAGCAATGCATGCAGTGCACTGTATGCAGGGCCGTAGAAAAGGCGAGGCGAGTGAAGTACGCGCCTCGGGTGCAGGCTGGGTGGGGGCGCAGCCAGGACACTTTAGCGAAGCCAAAGTTTAAAAAGTGTGCTCTGCCTGCTGCCGCCGTGTCGAAGCTTTCTCACGCTGCCAGCGCCGATCGGAGGAGCCAGCGGTGCCGCAGCTCTCTCACGCTACCAGCGGTGAGAACTGAAGAGAGGGACTCGGGAGAGCTCCCGCCGGCCAGAGGACGCAGCGAGGGAGGTGTGGCTGTGAGGTGGCTGAGGCGGGTCCCAAGGTCGAGTGACGGGTCCAGCTTAGTCAACCTGAGGTGATCCCTGACGAGAATCGGATCTGAAACAGAGGACGGAGAGGGAGAGCTGCAGCCTTCAGGTACTATGCTGTGACAATGACAGTCAGTCAGTATATCACTCCCCTTCTTTTCCATCACTTCTGTACTGTAGAAGTGATGGAGAAAAAGGGCAGCGATATACTGATAGTAATATGTGTGACACATGTGTACCTGCCTCCACATTAGTATCTAATCTATTAGTTTTATCTCTATTATTTAAATTATAGTCAAAATTATGTGGGGGGATGCTCAATGGGGACTGTATGGACTCCATACTGTTCCCATTGAGCATCCCCCCCACATACTTTTTTTTTTTTACTATAATTTAAATAAGAGATAAAAATATTTTTTAAAACATCTCTAATTGATGATGTTCCTAACCCCCCCACCCGCAAACTACCCCACCTACATCCTTAAGGGCCCAGTCACACCATAAGGAGTGCGTTCAGCCTCTGGAACGCAGTGGAACACAACCCGGCCGGCTCACTTTGTTTTGGGGCGGGAGGGGGCATGGCAGTGCATTGAAACCGGAACACAGGCACGGATGTGTCATGCATTCGGGTGAGGGCTATCGCACTGTGGGTGGGGCGCATGGCTGCGGTGCCATTGACTTCAATGCGCAGCCACACCCCCGCCCCAAAACACAGTGAGCTGGCCGGGTTTCGTTCTAGTCCTTCATCTGGCCACGCTCAGCTCACACACTGCATGCGAAGCTCCATGCCTGACAGCTTTGCACAACTTTGCATGTAGTATGTCACAGGCTTAAAGGAGAATTATAATCTGAGCCGACCTGTGACAATGAAACTGTCAAAGGTTGGCTCAATAGATCGGGAAGTGAGCAAACACATACCGTCGCTCGCTCACTTCTTGATCTATCCCGCAGAGGAGCCGTAACTGTCACTCACGGCACTCTGCAGGGATCCCCCTTCCCTCTCCGATCCTCCAGTGCTGACTGGCGGAACAGACGGGGGAGGGGGCGGGCACAGCTGGCTCTGCCTCTGGATAGGCAGAGCCAGCTGTTAATCCCGCAGCTGGGTGGATCCAGACAGAATTGTCGGGATCCGCTTCAGTTGCGGCGTCTCAGTATACCGCGAGCTGTAGCTCGCAGTAAACTGCAGCGTCTCAGTATACCGCGAGCTGCAGCTCGCGGTATACTGAGCTTTGGGTGACGGGAGGACGCTAGTTTGTGTCCTCCCGTTACCCTAAGGAGAACTATGGGGAAAAGCCCTAACCCCATAGTTCTCCTTTAACTACACTAAGTTTATTTTTTATGAAGTTGTTATTTATGTTAAGTTACATATCTTTATGTTTCTTATGTAACTGAAATAAACGGTTTAAATATAATTAATGCCTTGTTATTTAGTTTCCTCAAAAAAACATCGGAGGGGGGGCACAATTTTCTGTTCTTGCCTCAGGCGCAAAACAGGCTAGCTACAGCTCTGACTGTATGTATATTGTATTGCTGGGATTTGTTGTATTCCTCTATAGCTGGTGGTATATTCTGCATTGCGCTGTATAATCATTATACAGTGTCGCAATGCAGAATACCACCAGCTATAGAGGAATACAACAAATCCCGGCAATAATACATTATAGTATAAGTATGTACTGGGATTTGTTGTATTCCTCTATAGCTGGTGGTATTCTGCATTGCACCGCTGTATAATGTATTATTGCCGGGATTTGTTGTATTCCTCTATAGCTGGTGGTATTCTGCATTGCGCCGCTGTATTATTATTATTGCTGTGATTTGTTGTATTCCTCTAGGTGATTCAAATGAAGGAATCTCATAGCTAATGAATTTATTCCAAGAACAATAACATCACCTGAAAAACAATATTTGTAAACTGTTAAATACTTACCATCATTTTTATTGGCGTTGTATAATACTTTTTTTCTCTTTTTCTTGTTTTTCTTCGCACACCACAATTTTCCTGCAAGAAGAATATGTTTTAATTTGGAAACTGCATGCATATTTTTTTGCAATCGCACCGCACTGGAATGCACGGCATTGCAGTACTGTGCGTTCAAGTGCAGGCGATGGCACTGCAGGTGGGAGGCGCGTTTAATAAAAAAAACA